ATATAAATCAAAAATCGTCAAATAAATTCGTAATATATAAATTCGTGAAAAAAAGCGCTTTCGACAAAATACTGAAATAGAGATCTATCGACAAAGACTACTCACTTCTGCCTAGCTTAATAGTATGAGATTGCCGCAGCTGATGCTCTCTGGTTATTTCAGTTTCCGTTTATAAAAGCGCTATATGTTGAGCCACCTCAGCTAGATTTGGCATGTGATATTTTTAGCGGCAATCATTGGTTGATTCGCCGTGTAAGAGAAATAGTAGCTTAAACAAAACAAAGCAAACGTTGCCACCGGCGGAAAAGAAATACAGCCAAAGTTTGGGAGCCACGTAAGAGAATTATATATTAGATATAAATATAAAATATTTTCACAAATATAAGTTTGAATCATATATTTACTTAAAGATCTGAGATATTAAATTGCCACGAAATACTTCGTGATTTTAACTTTTTCAGTTTAAATTATTTGAATAGTTTAGGATGACGAGACCGGATATTTTAAATAGTTTATAGCGAACTATTTTAACCACTTGAAAAACGAGTGTTTATTTAAGAAATCATGTGCGAAACCCCAAATTGATCTTTTTTACCAGCGAATTTATATTCAATATTTTCGAAAGTTGATGTGGAAATTTTTTCGATTTAAGGCATTTTACACTTTTTTCTCCTTATCGCTTTTTACATTAAAATACTGTTAGAAAATTCTAGAAAATTTTGCTTTTCTTACATCTTTTTATTTTATGGGTATAAAGAATAATTTTTGTAATTGAGTCAAGAAGTTAAATTAACTATAAGGTAAGAGACAGTTTCTAATAATGAACTTTAAAAAACTCGCATTTTTTAAGGTTTTATTTTTCAAAAGAATATTTTGTTTTCATTTACAGCGCTGTCAGAAGTTTTATTCTGCTGTTATGTGTAAAATGCTTTAGTCTAAAATTAGATTATAATATTCATATGTTTATAAAAGTAAATATATATCCAACTACTTAAAATTTGAAAAAAAAGCAACATTTGTATGAACTCATATGTATCACATATTGCAGACATGCCAACTGCTCCGCTTTGTGCAATAGTTTTAATAAAGTGGTAGCGAAATTATGTAGTAAAATTCCTTAAAGAAGGATAGTTACGCCTACTTTTTAAAAGAGTAACCAGTATATCCATTGTTTAACGTTGCATTTTCATATGATAATTAAAATTTTTGATATTTAGTGGTGAAAAAATTACTTAAAATTAAAAATACTATACTAAAAATAACTTAAATTTTGCTACCACTACAAAATACTATTTGGGAGAAGGGCAGAATGGGAAAAGCTTTTGAGGAAGGCCCAGGCTCACGAAGGGCTGTCGTGCTAATGCTGATGAGAAAATACTATTTCACAAAGCGGAGCAAGTTGGCATCTCTTCATATTGTTTAGTTAAATTAATTACGATAAATGTTTCATTTTGTTGAGTAAAATGTAGTTAACAAAATACTATAATTACCACTATTTGCTTTTTTTAAAAATAAGTAAGATGATCTCAAATTATAGCGATCATAGTTCACAAGTTAATATTACGTTGCTTTAGCAGACATTGAAGCATTAACATAAAAATGAAGAAAATGTTTGATCATTAATGAATTATTTAAAGAAGCAAATTTAACATTAATTTTTGCATTAAATTATCGTGTTTCCTATAAACGTTCAGAAATTTTTCGATTCGCACAATTATCTGTGGAGGTATGGCAGGAAAAATGTATTGCGAGAGGCTTAGCTATGACTTAATAGTTGAGATTGTAATTTTTAATTTGAAATTAACCCCACACGCAACTGAGGTTAATCGTTACAGAATAAATACGTTTTTTAATATGACTTTTAATTTAATTCATAATTTGAATTGGTTAATAATATATTTTATGTTCTGCAAATCGAAAAAAAATTGTCTTTCTTACCGAAAATCCCTTTCTTGGATCACTTTTGAAAATGTTACTCTTGTAGGCATCATTTCATCACATGCCAACTTTTGTGGCATTTTTTTAATTACTCGAAGGAAGACAATTTTTCAATCTACTAATGGATAAAATATTTTATAAAAATTAATTTTTAAATTTAAGACTGGTATTTAATTTATATAATATTAATATTTATTTTTTTATGGTTTACCAACCAGACTAACTTTGGTATTTGTAGTGCAATTTTTCACATTTCATTTGAAGCAAGAATACTCTAGACCAGCGTTTCTCCACGAAATTATAAAGGAGTTCCACGATTCTACTAGTTAAAAGGGTTCCACTGTTAGTACTTTTTAAACCTAGTGATGAGTTTTGAAACCTCTGATTATACTTAGATCTAATCAATAATTTTTTTAAACTTCCAGTTTCCTTTGTGTATTTATTTCAAGTAAAAGGCCAAAGAACGAGAAATGGCATTTTTAAAAATAAAATATATTTCTAGTAACAATATGCAGAACAAATTATGAAAGTAGCAAGCATTTATAAAATATTGCATTAGTTTTTTCTATAGATGTTTTTAAAATCAAAATAAAATAATTAAATTATTTAATAAAGAAATATGTTTCCCTACCAACCATTTTAAACGTTTATAGCAGTTGTTTTTAGTTTTCATAAACATAATTTGTTTTACCATATGGTCATAGTAAACCATAATTTGTTTTTATTTTATTCATTTTCAGCTTATGTATAAATACGCAAAAACAAATTCAAAAAAGTAAACTAGATATAGCACTAAGATAGTCGGACATGAAACAATGAATCAATTAAAAATATTCATACCTCTAATTAAACATTTAAAAATAGTATTTTATAGGTTATGACGTTCACAATTACTTTAATAAGCTTTATTTGTAAAGTCATGGTTTCTCAGAAAGCAGGTTGAAAAATTGAGAAACGCTGATCTAGACAGTTCACAATGGAAGTTTAAAAATCTATTTTATAATTTTAAATTTAAACTTATAATTTTTGTCAAATTCAATTTTTGTTTGGTGATTAAAATTTACGTTTCCAATTTCAGGATATTGATAAAGATTTGGCGTCTTTCCAAAGAAATTCCAATGTACAAATGGCTGATTTAAGTGAGACTGATCGAAATCTTGTGAGATCTTTAGCTATCATCGAAGTGGCAGCTCTCCTCGACACCTATGGTTTGGTTCCTAGCAGAAGACGGAAACCAAATAGAAAGAAAGGAAAAGGTATGGTCAAATACAAGCTACAAACATTATTTATGAAATTTTACCACAAGTCTTATAAATGCTACAAATTAATTCAGAGTACAGAGGTTTATGACAATGGGTTGCATAAATGACGCATAAAATCTTTAAAATTTAGGAATTTAATTTGTACGCGTCTGAGCACAATTGTTTTGCCACTCATCTTCATTGCATATGCGTTACATCTGACCCTATTTGTCCATCGGAGAGTGATGGAAAGGAACCACTAGCTTCTATCTGATGCTCTAGCTTCGTGGACCTATTGAAGTGTCGAAATATAGGGAAACTAAAGCGCTTCTTGGGGTCACGACTCCAGTCTTCTGTTGTTTTATGGCACGTCTGATAAATGCTTCAAACTAATTCAGAATGCAGAGGTTTACTGTTGTTGTACTTCATTTACGTCGCATTAGAGCTACACAATGGGCTATTGGCGACGGTCTGGGAAACATTCCCGAGGATGATCCGAAGACATGCCATCACAATTTTGATCCTCTGCAGAGGGGGTGGCACCCCCGCTTCTGTAGCCCGACGACCAGCATGCGAAGTCAAACACTTTACGGTAGATCAGTTTAACGAGGAACAATACCGCAAACTTCGGTCCCTACGCAGTCTGATCCAAGTGATCACCCACCCGCACACTGACCTCAACCAGTGATGCTTGACTTCGGTGATCTTCTGGGAACCATGTCTTAACGATCAGTCCACTGCGGAACCCAGAGATTTGTAACAGTGAGTTGCATAAATGACCCATAAAATATTTAAAATTTAGGAGTTTTATTTATATGTGTTGAAACACGATTGTTTTGCCACCCATCTCCACTGCATATGGGTTCCACTGTATATATTTGAGTCTATTTGTCCATCGGAGAGTGATGGAAAGGAACTGCCATCTCCAATCTGATGCTCTAGCTTTGTGGACCTATTGAGGTGTTGAAATGTAGTGAAGCTAAAGCGCTTCCTTGGGGTTACGACTCTGGTCTTCTGTCGTTCTATAACACCTTTTGTCTAGCCATTAGAGATAAGACGGGTTCAGACCGAACCAGGGCCTGACTTGGGCTCAGGTTCGTTTATTGGAAAAAGGTTTCGGGCTCGGATAGGTTCAGATTCATGACATAATTTTCATATTTTTTTACTAGATTTGAACAAACGATAGGTTCAGTTATTGAGTATGATATATGTTAAATTTGTAAGATGTAGAAATTCACAATGATATTCTACTTCTGCTCAATGCTTTTGCTATGCGAGGCTAGTGGCTTTTATTTAGCTTAATACTTTCATTTTATTTTTTACATTTTTTTTTTTTTAGTTTCAGTTGGTTCAATTTTACATGTTTTTATAATTATTTCTTTCCATATTATGCATACTGCATACCTGCCAACTTTTACGCATTTGGCGTAAAATTTTATTTTTATATTTAAAGTGGTAGTAAATATATACTATTATTTCTTTTATAAACTTGATTTTTAAATAATTTTAATCACCACTATTCTTAAAAAAATTAAGCATAGATATTCATATGTGTTACTAGCATTGTTTTCAGCTTAAGCTCTTTCAAATACAACGTATTTTTTGCTTAAATATGAAATTTTAATTCCATTTTAATACCACTGGGAAAAATCATAATGGAAGTGATTAAAAGTTGGCAGGTATGATGCTGATTCTTAGGCGCTACAATTAGGGTATGTTATGTAAATATTGAGAAAATAAAAGATCTATATGCTTTACAATACTTTTTTTTGTCGTATGCCTGTTTTAGGCAGTGGGAGTGCGATTGTTCTTGTTTTTCAGTGGCGCCATCTATGGTCAGGAATTCGACTTCTGCCCCGCCATTCACACAACCACAACCCGTTTATAGGGCGGGTCACATTCACACACAAAGGAGAAAGGACATAGAACACACAGAGAGAGAAAGAAACATTCATGCCTTTGCCCGGGATTCGAACGCAGGACCTTTCTGATGCAAGGACAGTTCCCTGCCTCCTACACAGGCCTGCCAAATACACCCAGTTTCTTTAGAAAAAATCCATGTGTGGTCCATGATCCATGTGAAATCCATGTAAATCCCATCTCTAAGTTCATGTCAAACCAAAAGGCCATAATCATATATGTAAAGTCATGATTTTTTTGTAGTAATAATAAAACGTCTTGAAGAAATGTTGATAAAAGGGGACTTTTAATATTATTTTTCACAACAATCTTTTCTAAAATCTTATTTTTTTCCTTCTCCCTGTAATTTATTAAAAAGTTTTCTTCGTTGGTGGTATATAGTAAAGCATTGTTATTATTCAGTTGAATTTCAAAGAATATTAATTTGTCATCGTGTTTTTATTGAAGATTATATTTCGTTTTTAGATAATGTAGCTTTCGGAGCTTCCTTAAGTTCTTTGCTTGATCTCGACAAAAGAAGGTGTCCAGGTCTCAAAGTTCCTCTTATTTTCCAATGGGTGAGTAAAATAAATTTTTTAAAAACCTGGCCCCATTATTTATTTTAAAATTTATCATGGACTTTATCAATTATTTCAGTTTGCAGAAGTCTTTGCGCCGAATAACTATTTCTTAAAATTGAGTTATAAATGAATAATTTAATGTAGTTCTTAGTTAAAAAAATAAAAATTTGCCTCGATAATGTTATGTAAATTGTATTTTTAAAGATTAAGGAGTGTAATATTCTCGAAATTTCAAAGATTGTTCTTCATAATTGAAGCTATATTAATCACGAGATTAATTATTAAAATTATTATTTGTAGGTACTGAGAAACGCCACCACCTGCTCGCTATCGCTCATTAACCTCCAAAACTTTATTTTGGATCGTTTCGTGTTTAGAGCTCACTCACTCATTTTACCGTTGAACCCGCACTGGAGCAGGTTACCGATACAGCTAGGGCAAAATCATAATATGGGAGTGGATAGAAATTCGTTCGTAAGAGAAACCAAACTTTACAATTCAATAATTCTAAAACTAAACAGAAATTTAAACTAAGTCACATAGCTCATTTGCCGACAAAAGAGATCAAAATATCATAATTCTACTGCTAATAGTTTTCATAGAATAATATTTATAAAAGAAATTGAAAGCTAATATTCTCAAATCAAAATTAATAAGTAAAAACAAAATTGCGTCTCCTGATTATTATCGGTTTGCAATCTCTCAATATCGCGCCGTTCTTTTTAGATCGCTTCCCGGTATATGTATCTCACTTCGCCCGTTCAATTATCTGTCCTAAAATTAGGATGGCATGCATATGGTTAAAAAAACCTTAAAAATAAATACATATGTATGTTAAGAAACCAAAATTAAAATTAAAATCGGAAAAAGGTCATTTTGATTTCGTTTTTTTTAGTTTATTTTTTCTTTTTTATTATTTGTTATCATGAAATAAATTTGTTTTATTAAACATTTCGTAAAAAAATGCTGATGATGAAGTTCCGTTCCTCAATGCTAAGTCTATTATTCAATCAATTTTTAAGTATATTTGAAATAGTATTAAAGTATTTTAAGTAAGTATTAAGTACCCAGTAATCCTGGTAGTAAAATGTTCACAATATTTCTGATTGGCCCATAATGAAAGCCGTAGCAGAGTTTTGCCTTGCTTCTGGTCATTACTTTTATACCTACAATTCAACACGTGATGACCTGTCCTGCTTGCATGGGTCATCATCTATTGTATTGGTCGTGTATTGATTTGATTATCAAGCACTGTATTGGTTATTTGACAATACTAGTCATGACTATTATACAGTATTTAATGACTTGTGCTGCACTCTGCATAGTCGTCAGGAACTTATGGACTGTACTCACATTTAGCTTTGTCCAGCGCTCTATACCAAAAGCTAAACTTTAGTAAAAACCTATTAGAAACCAAATGAGTTTATATTATATTATAACCGTCGTTGAACAGCCGACCCAATTTCATGGGTTTACGACTACTTACGTTCAACTTCGTAGCCTTGTAATTTTGAACCAATCCAGAAGACAAGGAAACTCCTGGATCAGTACCCCCAGAGGTATTGATTTGTTGTGGGAACATGGAGGACT